ATTCCCCACTCTCTTTCATAATACTAGAACCTGAGGTCATGCAAATGAATCTGAATGTCGGGAGATTCAGGGCAGACAAAAGCAGCTTCTTCTTCACACAGCTCATAGCTGAACTACAAAATTCACTTGCACAATATGTGCTGATGGACGCTGATTTAGATAGCTCTAAAAGTGGATCAGAGAAATGCATGGAGGAAATGGGGATCAATGGCTATTGTTGTCATGATGGCCATATACCACCTCCAGGTGCCGGTTGCCGAGGAAGAACAGCTGGGGAGCGCTATTGCTCTTAGGTTCTGCTTTTGGGTTTTCTACAGTCCTCTGGTTGGCTACTGTGGGAAAGAGGATGCTGAAGAGGCCCTTGAACATAAGGGTGCTCTTGGGTTTTTACAGTAATTTTAATATTGATTTACTGGATAAAAGGTGTGCATTTCTGCTGGTGACAACAACTGGGAGCTAATGATATGGAATTCCATGCTCTTTAATTATCCTGTGCTTTCGTACAGTGCATGTGGACCATTTGGAGCTGGACCATATGAGCATCTAGAAGATGCATGATGCTGGTCTTAACCATATATTGATATTACTGCAAACTGGAACTACAGAGCTTGAAGGGACCGAAGGGTAGTTTCACCACTGCTGGTATAACCAAAGAGGAAGGGATACAAATCTTAAGAAGAGGTATCAACCTGTAGGAGAATTGGGCGCTGCTGGCACATTTTAGTTTGTGAGCTATCTGTGTTTACTACTCTCTTTGCACCAGCAATGATCAAGGAGGACACATGGCACAATCCCCTTGGGGGGTGGTGATGATTCAGATGTGCTGATTCAGCATTCTGAAGACTTGCAGCTCACTATGACCAAAAGCTCTGTGGCAGAACATCATATGCTCAAAGTGTCCCTTACGCCTTTCTAATCTCTCGCTGAAAACACCACGGTATACAAATTACTGTTTTCCTAGGAAGTTCACTCCATTACTGATCAGCTCTTAATTTAGAACAATGTTCTGATTGGTTAACTTAAAATGACTTTCAAACCATTTAACACAGCCAGGTAAAGATAGATAGATGGTAGATAGAACGTAATGTTTCTCTACCAACAGTTCTGTTTCATATGGCACTGGAAAAGCTGCCCTCAGAATTTGACGAAGTTATTGTGTGTCTCAATATACTGGAAGCCTCTCCAATGAGTAAGACTGAATTCAAATTTGGATGTTCCTTACCAATGAAAGCTCTACACTTTGGCTACCTTTACTTGATATCAATTCTGAAAATTGTTCTTTCCATGGCCAAACAGTAGGGTTGCTTGGTTCCAACTACTACTACTACTACTACCACTAATAATAATAATATTATGTTGGATTGGTGGGATTTTTCTTTTGCTTTGATTTTGGACAAAAAAAATTACTTTAACCAAGGGTGCTTCCATACAACCTGTTTACTACACATTCAGCCTGATTTGTTTACGGGGAGGTTATATGATGTTGCATCAAAGTGTTATTCTGAACTTTCCTTAACGCAAAAGGTCTGATCCTTTGGGGAAGTGGTTTTGCAGTGCAAGAGCTCCCAATCAACTCTCACTGTGGAACCTGAATTTGCCAGTGTGCAATTGAATCCCACCTGGAGACAGTGATGTTCCAAGAATGATTTTTCAGTCCAATTTAAGACAAACATAGATATCAAACGACAGTATTTTATATGCTGAATATATTTCCTTTCTCAAGTCACTTTGTTCCCCACAGGACCCTGGAAAGGTACGTAATCGGAGGTATTTCACTCCGTCTCCACCAGGGGCAGCATACTCACAAGTTCCTTTTCATTGCTTGCAGTCTGCCAAAATGTACTTTGCTTTCTCATCCTGGAGTGCCTTTGTCTTATATAACACAAATAGCAACCTCCACACACCACATCTTCCAACTAACATACACTCCATATAGCCAGTGGTGTGTTAGATCTTTCAAACAGCCATGTTTTAGGAGCGCTGTGGGGAGAATGAGAAATGCCAAGTCTACTCCCTTGGTGCTGCCATCTTTATCCTGGTGGGATTTGCAAGCCCATTATTTCTTTGCTGTGTGAATCTAGAATATAATAAGCAGGGGGATGGGGGACGTGTTCCCTAAAAGAGCTATATTACACATTTACTCAATATGAGAAGGGTGTGACATTAGGCATTTCCACAAAAACATAATGCATGTTAATAATGCTAACGACGACGTAGCCAAAATTTATTGATAGTAGCCCAGTACTCAAAATAATCTCTTGAAACCAATAATTTGCATACCAGTGGATCCTCTGTGAGTAGTTCAGTTTGAGGACTAGGACATGAGTTGCCTCAGTAAATGCATGGATAAGCTTTTAAGATGCAAATAACATTCTTTGGGGTTTGCTTGTGTTTGGAAGAAGGTGCCCGCCAAACAAGCCCCTTCATGTCTAGTAAAAACAATCTCTGACAGTGTCCCACATAAGAGTACGCTCTGAAATATCTTAAGATGAAGATATGCATAACCTCGTGACTCAAGTTAAACAAAACCTCTCCAGCAAATCCCACTTGTTTTGGCTTTCTTCCTGAGGAAGTGGCCATCTTGCAACTGTGTTGAGTAACATGTAATGCAATATCCAGAAAACATTTTAACAACGTGGCTCACTGCCCAAAGGACTATGGAAAACAGTGGGTGAAGTGTGCTTTGGGCAGATCCGCCAGACAGAGACATGTTCCATGCAACACTTATCCTTTCCTTCCTGCGTCACAGTCAATAACATTTCACAACCAAAGGCACATGCAGCCTTCCATGGGATACTGTGTGACACCAACAATCTCCTCCTAAGCTGTAACAGAGGAAAAATGGAAGTTCTGCCACACCCTTCTGACCATAGGAATGTTTGAGTGAAGTGCTGGTGAAGTGACAGGGAACGAGCCAGGGCGGGGGGGGGGGGGGAGTCAGTAATGGATGCTGACCATACCAAACTGTTGTGAGGTAACCAAAGATAGCCAGCTTTTTTTATTTTTAACCTGAATTCTCACACTGTTGGAACACTGTGCCCTCTCTTTCTGAGCCAGGTACCATCTAAACGCTGCTCCTTATAAGCTCTCCATCCAATTCAGTGGCTCTTGTGAACACTTCACAGACTCACGGCCATTAGCACCCCTCAAAATAGCGCCTGCATGAGGGCTGGGGGTGATGTTAGAAAGCTTCCCGAAGAAACAGGTTTGAGTCTTTCCCAGGTGTCAATTAAGAAGGAATCGCACTCATCTTCTGGACTGAAATAAAGCTTTGCAGAGATCTGGCCACTGACTCATCATTCCGCCACCTATGCATGATTCAACAGCCCAAATGTTTGTGAAAATAAATGCAATGTCTGGTGAACCACATCTAAATATGTTCCCTGCACAAATGCATATGTGCACACACATCAGAGGGGTACATGTACCCTGCTAGTTTAAACGGGTTCAACTTCTGTGGAGTTGACTCTTACTGAATTTATCCCACTTTGTCCTGTTCTCCGCTTTAAATTGCATGTGCTAAACCACATGTGTTAACACATGAGTCTAATTTCCTCTACCACCCCTTCTCAAATCTTGTTTGCTGTGAAGATATCCCCCCGTGCAACTAAATGCATCCAAAATTCCAGGTACTTGCATGCAAACATTTATACGTATGCAAAGTACCACTGTGTGGACTTGGAGAAACACGAATGCCAGCAAATAGACACACCTACATATTCAAATCAGGGGCACATATTCACAATATGTTGCAAAGACAGAAAAATGCCAGCACAAACAAGAGGGTCTCCAACAAAGGATTATTTATACAGACACTTAGGATTGTCAACGTGTGTGGAGAAAAAGCACATAAACACACAAAAATCCATAAATGCTCACTATTTGAGGATCATTTATAGGAGGTATCCTTCCAGTCTTGAACATCGAAATGTGCTCTTATGAACAAGTTACATATCTATAGATATAGATATACAGACACACATATACAAGGCACACTACTGACACATGAAAGATATATGCATTGCCTGATATGCATCTAAGATACTTGATCATGTAAAGTGAATTCTCCCATTCTTTAAAGTGAAGTGCATATGCAAAGTGAAACAGATATATACATTCACACATGTGGTCATATGCACACAAACATACTCGGAACAAGAGATATGCAAGCTGACTGCGAAAGAGAGGTGCAAACCTAGCTGTCCATGCAAAGATGTGGTTTAATATGCAAAACTATACACTGTCACATCTGTTCATTACAGTCTCAAAAACCCAACTGGCATTCTCTCATTCTGTTTCTATTGCATACCTGTGAGTGTTTTTACACACAGGTTTCAGGGTTCTCTCTAAAACTGTCTCACCTGAAAAGAGGGTTAAGGGAATATAAGCAATGGGGCAACTGCAATCCAGGGCTGCTTTATAAATTCCTCCTTCGTTCCCTGGGAAGACAGCGACTTCCCCGGAAAGTTGTGCTTTGCGAGGCAAATCAAGCACATCAACTTCCCCAAAAAGAAAGTGGCACTTGGCGTAATTATTTTAACCTGGATCCTAGTGCCCTTGCCCTCTTTCGCTGGGTCATCTCAGAACTACAGATAGCAACACAAGTACAGTATATACACACACAGCAAGCGCGAACGATGTTAGCAAGCGATTTTAACACTTCCCACACTGATCTCATTGCTTTACAAAAGTGGAGGAATATGGAACCCTTATTTTATCAGCAGACTGAAAAAATGTTTTGCCAGCTCCAAGACTGGCTCTCCTTTCCTGGAAGCCCCCCTCCTGCCCTCTTTAAAGCCTACATTTCCCTGCTCTCCTGCGAGTTTGTTTTATTGTTCACTCCGTTGCCTTTTCTCCCCCTGCTCCCCCGGGATGCCAGCTGTTCCCATTCTGGCTGATGCCTCCATCCCCCCCTCCGACTCCTCAGTCCAGTACTCTCATTCATTTCCAGTACAATCCCTGCCCCCAAAACACACACACTGTATCTGTCTTAAACTTACTTCCCCAGCTCTTCAAAGAGCTGGTATTCTTCCGTGAACCGGGTGCAGGTGATGGTTGCCATCCTGGATGGTGACTGCCTCCCCTGGCGTGAAGTTTTACACAAACACCTCTCCTCTCTTGAGCACGCACTTTCTCGTTTTCCTCTTCGCTCCTAGCGCTCTCGCCTTCTCAGAGGTAAATAAGCGAATATGTATGATTGACAAGCCTGGAGATAATGATGAGGGCAATTTGTCTTCTCAGCCTCACAAGCCTTCGTCAGCATCCAGTTCTCCATAGCAACCACCTCTGGAACGCCCTGGTTTTGTTGCCTGGGTAACTGCTTCCCAAACACCTGCTTCGCCCGCTACTTTGCAGCTCTCTAACGCCCTGACTCTGTCACTGTGAAAACTGCATCCTTAGCCAGAAAACAGAAGATGACTTGAAGGAGAAGACCATATATATACATATATATAGGCAAATTAAGTCAAGCAACTGAGAATTAACTGGGGCAAAAAGGTTACTATGGAAACTGCAGTTTCCACATTACAGGATGGTCTCTGGAAAGACAGGATGCTGTTGCCCTGGCAACTGCATCTTATTCTCCAGAAAGACAGGTATTGCTGCGTTGCCCAGGCAACTGCAATACTTTCAAGGTTTAAAGGAACATTATGCTTCCTTCAGCCACAGCTACTTTTGGGGGAGATATAAGGGGCTGCTTCTGAAGGCACTTGTGAGTCTTACTTAGGACCATTAGAATGGGGTGCCTTTAAAGGGATACACCATGGTTTTTGAATAAATAAAGTATAAAGCAGTCTGAATTTTTCCAATTCCTGTAGGGGGAGCAGCTAAAACTAATTCAGAATCTGCAAAACCTTCTGGAAAGCAGCAACAGAGCTTTATTCCCAGTAGAGTGTCTGGCCCAGATTTCATGCACTTTCTGTTTCTGCCATTGGAACTTAGGAAAAGGAAAAGGGGGGGAAAAACATTTCCTGAGGAGTGGGGGAGGAGAAAGAGAGAGAGAGAAAACAAGAACAGCATGATACAGTAGTTAGTTATATGCAGCTGCTGATGAGGAAAAGCATCCTGATGGAAGGACAGGTTGCCTAGCAGACATCAGTCCTTGTGTGGATGTGATTATGGAGTGTGGGCTGAGTTAAGGATGCCGGAAAAGTATGCCTACATTTTGAGAGCCATATCTTCTGCCAATAACCCCGAAATCCTCCCTCTCTAGCAGTTGGGAATGCAATGAGCCAGCCTTTTCGCATATTAAAAGGTCGCCCACACAGGAACAAACATATTAAATATGTTTAGGCTTTTCCACATCTTTGTAATGCTTGTGAGGACTATTTTATATTAACTATCCTGAGTTGTGTGGCAAGTGCTTGCTTATTTCTAGTTTTCATATTATTATTTTTCAGCATTTCCATCCATGAAGGTGTGTAATCAAAGGATGTGCACACATGGCATTTTATTTTAGAGTCCATGGAAACTGAGCATCCCCCCCCCCAACTAGACCACACAAAACCTAGACCTGTTGCTTGTTTTCCCCTCCTAAAAAACACTTCTTGACAAACTGGTTTCATTGCAAAAATAAAAGCTTATTGCAGATTGCTTCTGCATCACAACCCACAGCATAATTGGTAGTCTTCAGCAATGGGGAGTGTATCCTCACCTGCCCAATGATATGGTTGGCGGTCATATACCAAGATTACAAGGGGATAATTTTCAAACAGGGTTTTTTCCATAGTACCCACACCCAACTGTCTGCATAGCAGGATCTCCAGTACAGTCAATCTATACTGAAAGCAGCATGTTGAGAATGAGCATGAATGATTGCATAGCAAGAAAAATGACATTTCTGTGCTACAAATTGGTGTGTACACAGCCAAAGAGCAACCAATGTGGAATTATTTCCTTTTCCTTCAGATACTAAATTCTACTACTGGGCTTCTCATTCTTATACAATGTTGTATTTTAAAATCAAAGTGCCCCCATTTCCCAGCAAGTTATCTTATTGGCAGGCTTTGAAAGAGACAAGCATTCATCATGCTCAGTGGTAGCCATGCTCCAGCAGAGACTACAGGCATTAAATGTTCCAGATGCTGTACTGCCTACATTAGATCCATTCATTGATCCAGATCAGGATTCCAAAATGCTCTGATCTAAGCAGCATAGACTTGTCCATGCCAGGACTTGCAGAGAATTCTGGAAGGAAGAACACCAGTCTGTATAGGTATGAGCAAGCAAAGCACTGTACTAAAAAATAAACCTCTTCATTGAACAATCAAGGTTTCAGTTTGTGTTCTGATTTCTAAGAGTTCCAGGCCTCTTAACTCAACAGATGCTTGCACATTAAGAAATATTTCTTTCGTAAAACAGTGACAACAAACTCAGAGATTTATACTCAGAGCTTTGTGGTGTTCACAAGTACCGGAAATGATGGAAAGCATTGTACTGGCTGCAGAAATCAACATTCTGACCTTTAATATTGAAAGAATTTTTCTAGACCTCATGATGTCACAAGTTGAGCTTGAAAATGTGTGGGCAATGTCTGGCGTAATCTTTGAACCCATAAAGGGAACAGTAGAGGTTCTATTATTAGACAGCTTTCCTTGAATAACACCACATTACTATGACAAACAGATACATTATACCTAGTGTGAAGGAGTGCCCTTGCTAGAGGCAATGGAAGTAATCACCCTCTCCTGTTGTCACTGTCCTGCAACTGCTATTAATGGTGCAATCCTGTACATGTGTAGTCAAAAGGATCTGTCACTGAATGCAATGGAACTTATTCCTAGGTAAGTGTGTACATGATTGCAGCCTTTGAACTTGCACTGGTAGCTATTAATAATCTTATCTTCCAACCAGATAGCTCAGGTAGAGCATGAGACTCTTAATCTCAGGGTTGTGGGTTTGACCCCACGCAAAAAGATTCCTGCATTGCAGGGGGTTGAACTAGATGACCCTTGTGGCCCCTTCCAAAGCCATAATTCTGTGATTCCATGAATTTGCCCAATTCTCTTTTGAAACCATGTAACCTAGCTAGTGGTCATTAATAGACCTTGCAGCAGCAAATTCCACAAAATAAGCATGTATTGTGTGAGGAAGTACTTCTTTTTGCCTGTCCTGGATCTATTGCCAATCTATTTCATTGGATGATCCTGGTTTCTAGTATCATGTTTTTCTCCACACCATACATACTTTTATAAACTTCCATCCTGTCCCATGCATGAATCATGGAAAATCAGCAAATAGATGCACATAGACATGTTTCATGCTACTTACAGAATTCACCTTTCCTTGGCACGGATTTTTGATCCAAGTTATTTCTTTAAGTGAAGACACACAGAGAGACCTAAAACTAGGGTGAAAGGCAGACAGGCCATTGCAGCTGCAGCCTGATCCAAAATGATTTCATCACTAAGGAAGCATGCCGCTCACATTCCATTCTCAAACATCTGCAGGTGTCATAGTGACCGGAGCAGTTCTGGACAATTTGTTAGCAGCCAGCATTATTCTCAGTAATGCTAAGAAGCAAATTACTGCTAGTGTGGACTTGTTGCAGAGATTCCTCTCCTCCACCACCCCCATTTTAGAGGTTTTGCACCCCATTCTGTAGGTATGGTAAAGAACTTGGGAAAGGCGCAAAACTAACCAGGCTGAAATCAAGTCCCAAGCCTCAGTGCTTTTCTGCAGCAGGGAGAAAAGGAGGTAGAGAGAGTGGACCAGAGTGGGGTGAGGTGCTAAGGTGGATGGAGAAGGATAGTCAGAAAGAATAAGATGGGGGAGAAGGCAATCCTGAATGGCTTTCCATTTAATTGCGCTTTTGCCATCTTCGTGAAAACACCTGCTTTTTATTCCTCCACACAATACACTTCAACTCCATCCACCAGCAGATTTCAGTCAGATGACATGTTCCATAGAAGAATCAAGCTCCTGTCCACCAGCATGGGGGGAGAACATTTGACTGAAAAGTGGAGAACTACGGTAATTATTATTTTTAATTGCAAAAGGAGAAGCTGGGGGCGAGATGGGCCGGGCTGCATCAAAACTGCATATATCTAAAGCCAAAAGCAGATTCTGTTTCTCTGCATTCCTGACATTGTTACCTCAGCAGTGACTAACGAATGGTGTTTGTTTAAATGGCATAGAATAGTGTTGAGAACAATTTGTCAGCAAATGGCAGGAGGCCCAGCTTGGAACACAGGTCTTAGAACGTCTAGGAATCTATGAATGTCAGACTTCCTGCTTTAGGTCAGAGCGATGGATCCAGGAGCCTAGCATTCTGTCTACCAACAGTGATTAGGCAGATGCCTCACAAACATGGCATGATGTCTTGGCCCCTCCTGGAAGAGTTTGTACAGATGACTGTTTTGGCCAGTGACTTTTCCCTTTCTGCTTTGCTCTCTCTCTCTAGCCCTTCTAGAAACAGTAGAAGACCCTTACAAATATAATGGCTAGTTAATTGCTTTGCTTCCAGGAGGAAAGTGCTCTAAGGAGACAACTTCCACATTGTCCAGGAAGAGAACACACATCACCATGGCACAGGTTTGCATAAAATTTGCACGTGCTAATTTATATGTACAGATGCAGAATTACTATAATTTAAATAGAAATACATCTCACTATATTGGGAAGGCTCTGTTTGCTGTCCAGCTGCTAATGATGGTCTCCACTCTTTCTTTCTTTTTACCAAGGACTTGGATAGGACAACAGAGGGTTCCTTGAAAACAGAGGACTCTACTCTGATAGCCTTTCAAATACAGGACTGTCCTCTGTCAAATAAGACACGTGGCCACCCTAATTTACATCCAACTTGTAAAAAATGAATGGGAGGCATATACTCCACTAATAATAATAATAATAATAATAAATTTTATTTATATCCCGCCCTCCCCAGCCAAAGCTGGGCTCAGGGCGGCTAACAACAATAAAAGTCAGGAGCACAAATCTTTCTAGGGAGGGAAACTGGTGAAACCACAAGGGGATGGAAAAGAACAGTCTTGCTCCCTCCACCCTTTTAAAGGGATGCAAGAGGCCTTGTGATCCACCCAGAAATGTATGAATCAAGAAGAACTTCTTGAAAAAAAGTCAGGGACATTGGACTGGAGAACAGTGTCTCTTCTTGCCATCAACTTATTTATTTTTATTTGTTTATAACATTGAGATCTTGCTAAATAGCCAAAAAACATGGCTCTCATGAAGACTGCAGTGCCAACAATGTAAAAATACCACATATATCCTAATTGGGTAAAAGCAGATTATAACTACAAACAAGACAACAAATCAGTCATCAACCGCCCCACATAACAAAAATAGACCAGCAACCACATGCAAGACCAAAGGTGTTTCTAAATAAAGGTGTTTAGG